TATTATTTTAGTATATGATTAATCTATTATTTATTATTATTATTTAAACATTTAATTTTTATTGCAATGTATTAATCATTTTATTTTAAATGTTTTATTATATTTATCATTATATAAATTATGAATTAACTGAAATAAGTGGTCAAAAGTAGGTATAAGTGAAAGGTAAGAAGATTTCAGGTAATAACTCAACAAATCTCCTTCCCATCAGGCTTGGACGATAATCCACTGTAAACATCCATCCAGCCCATAAACCCTAATGAACAGCAAGTATCTGACTGTCTACACATTCACTTCATGTCATCCCTGCTTGTCACTGCTGAATGAAGACATTAGTAGCGAACAATTAGCAGAAAGAAGAAAAGAAATAATATTTACATTAAAAAAGTTACATTCCGTTCTTTCTTTCACAACCTGCTCATAAATAAAATATTTTTTTTGTTCTCAATGTGTTATTATAATTAACTGACGTTATTGTTTTTCTTTTTGTTATATGGAGGTCAAATTATTACTATCATTATACCTTCATTAATTATTTTTGCTGCTTTTAAAATGTCCTTTATGTGTAGACTTTATTGATTTACAGTTGTCCCAGACTCTGGCTTTTAATCTGAAACTATTAACATTCATTTTAAAAGTGAAGAAAATTGTAAAATGTAATTAATAATGTAAAAATACATGTATAAATAAAAACCTATGGATTATTTAATTTGTTTAATGCAGTGTAAAATCTAAAATGGCATTAATATGTTCTGCTTTTAAGTGCATATTACTGAAGACTGCTTCAAATTACAAACGTGTATGTGACACAGTGTCATCTGAAGAATCTGAAGCTTCTTGTCATCATCTGTGAAGAGCCGTGATTAGAGTCTGGACAGCTTTGCCCAGGCCACGGTCTAAAGCAGGGGTGCCCAAACTCGGTCCTGGAGGGCCGGTGTCCTGCAGAGTTTAGCTCCAACTTGCCTCAACCCTGCTGGTACGAGACTCGAACCCGCAACCTTTGGGTTACGAGTCCGACTCTTTAACCATTAGGCCACAACTTCCCACAAGTACAACTTTCTGTACTATCACAAATTGGATCTTTAAAGCCCAGGGCTGTAAATGGAAACAGTGACCCTTTACCGCAGTATTAATTCTCTGACATCATTACAGCGTGAGAGTGTGGAGGAGCAAATCAAAGAGGCGGGGCGTTGGGGTGAGGAGGCGGTGCTTGATGCAAAAGAACAAATCAAATCGCTGGAGGACGCATTGCAGAAAGCCAAACACAAAATGACCAGACACATTCGAGACTACCAGGAACTGATGAATGTCAAACTGGCTCTGGATATTGAGATCGCCACCTACAAGAAACTGCTGGAAGGAGAAGAGGACAGGTGAAACTGTAAAGCTTAAGCAATTAACTGAGAGCTTACTCAGAGTTTAGCTCCAACTTGCCTCAACACACCTGCTGGGAAGTTTCTAGCATGCCTAGTAAGAGCTTGATTAGCTGGTTCAGGTGTGTTTGACTAGGGTTGAAGCTAAACTCTGCAGGACACCGGCTCTCCAGGACCGAGTTTGGGCACCCCTGGTCTAAAGGTAATACAGGGGTGAAGTGTGTTATTTTGTCTTCAAAGAGAGAAACAGACCTGATAAGATTCCAAGGAAAGTAGCTACTGCAAAAACAACAACACCCCCTCAACAACTTATCCAAACACCTTTACAGATTCACAACCATTATGAAAGATAACGAATTTTGCCACTTTCTCTGTGGCTGACTGACTCCTCATATCCAAGCCAAAAAAAAAACAAAAAACAGGGAAAATATACAGTTAAACAACTCCAAACCCAACCCAACAAAGTAAATAAAAATGGTAAAAAAAAAAAAAAAAAGGTTAAAGACAGTTCCTGTAGCTCAAACTAGAGCATGGAGCTAGCAACGCCAAGGTCATACGTTCGATTACCAGAGAATGAACTAATGAAAGTCGCTTTGGACTGAAATGCATAAATGTAACATAAATGAACTGAAAGAAATGTTATGATGTAAATTGGCCCTAGATGGCGCTGTTTAACTTCTCTTTGCTTCCGCGTTGGTAGTCTAAACAATAAACACACATTCAAACGGAGTCGTTTTTGTACACCTGTGATATTTTGTGTTATTATGTATGTGTCTAAAAGTACAACCTGTCATTTTGTAGTATGAAATTGTTCGGTCCGGATTCATTATCATAACGGGGTCTTGCAAAGTACGATTCATTTCATTAAAGACACACAACACTTCCTCGTTCTTCTCTGACTAAACAGCAACGACCGTCCAGCACTATTCTTCTGCCGCCCGTGAACTTCAGGGTTTCTCACGATATCGGGATCTGCAGCCATGTGGAGCGAGATTTCATATGGTGAGCAAAAACAGTTCTGACTTTGAAACCTCTGACTGTTTGTTGTTTAGCACGATAAGCTTACGTAATAGTTTATGAGTTACAGTTCTAATAGAATTGGCCACGGGCTACAGGAAAGTATGGTAGTGTACATTTTTAACTTACTGCATTGCATCTCAAAGAAATTCGACAGAATTAATGCATTCTGGTGAATGAAGTGTACTTCCACCCTAGTAAGTCTATCTTATATATATATTCTACAGTCAAATTTGAATTTCATTTATATATATACATCCTGTTTTATACATCCTGTTTGCTACCTGAATTCAAAATAATTTCTGAATGGATAGATAGATGGATAGATAGATTCTTTCTGCACTTTTCTTTTCTGCACAACCCCATGCTTTCAGCTTTTTTGGGCATCAATGGTGATGTCACTCACCCTGATACCACATTCTCCTTTCTGTCTCCAGTGATGTATGAGTTCTTATTGGCCGCCTCCTTTTATCCGTGCAGGAGATCTCAGACGAGCGCTCAGATTTGTACTACACATTTTTAGCAGGGCTGTCGGACTCAATCCAGTGTAAACAAATAGAAGAC